GCTACACCATCCTGCAGCTACACCATCCTGCAGCTACACCATCCTGCTGCTTTTCTTTGTTTCAAGCAGAAGAGCTGCATCATTTTACTCTTCAGACACGTCTGACTCGGAGACTCGTGTCATAAAGTGACATCAGAAAACCACGTCCGACAGTTACTCGTTAAAAGTTTCCTTTAGCAAAAAACTGGGAAACCAATGATTTAAAAAGTCAAATACGTTTCAGATAAACAACCCGGCCGTACAGTCGGCTAATAACTATGAATATTTATAGAAATATGAACACATGTATTTTAAAATAAATATCTGCTAAATCCATAGGTTGAGTTATTGCTTCTTCCACCTGATTTATTAGTTTATATTAAAGCTCATTAAAATTATAATTAGATTATAGTGACTGCAGCAAAATGTAGTTTAATCTTGAATAAAGTTTTGGACAAACTTTCCTGTTTTCCTGAATGAATGTTGGTTATTTTAACACACAAGCACCAGTTTGAAAAACCTTTTTATTTTATTATTTTACAACTTTGTTCCTTTTTAACCAAAATCAAACTTACTGTCAGAGATGATGCATTCAGATTAAATTATGTCCTCATTGTTGTTTTAGGAGTTTCAAATTAAATTTCATTCTTTGTAAAAAAGAAAAACAAGAAAAAACGTGAGCTATAAATTTAGATGCTGATAAAAAAGTTTGTGAAACTGAATTATAAACCAGTTAAACTTGTTGTCAATCTGTAAAAAAATAATAATGAAAAAGAATAAAACAGGAATAACTCATAAGGTTACAACGAAGGAAACAATAATCCTCTTTGCAAATGAAGCCAATTTCTCAACGTTTTTACTTCACGTTGTTAAAAGTAACCCTTCAACTGCTAAAATCCAAACGCTGGATTTGACGAGGCGTGAACATCCTGCGTCAGGACGCTGCCTCGCCACAGGAACACAAAATGTTGCTCAGCTCTTTGCTGTTAGTCAACGGCGGTTGTGGCCGCTTCAAGAGACGCGTACCTCGCACATCAGCGGTGCATCTCGATCCGTCAGCCTCCATTAGGGCCTGCCAGGCTTCACATGCTGACTGTCTAAATTTAGTTTAGCCTCTGAGCCATGATTAGACAGGCCAGGAGAGGCGAGCCACGCTGCCGGCTGCTGGCACTATGAAAGATGAACTTCATTCACGGGACATAATTAAGTGAAAGATTGGAGGAGGGAGGTGATGGTGGAGGAGAGAAGGATGGGGCAGATAAGATAAGATGAAACTTTAATGATCCCTGTGGGGGAACTGGCTTGTTGCAGGACTCCAAGAACGAGAATTTAAAACGAGAATAAAAGTAATTGCACATGTCGAAAAGTGGTTTAAACTTTGTTTACGTTTGTCTCGGGCATCCTTTGCCATCAGCTTTTCCAAGTGATTTGCTTTCAGAGTATTTGCACAAATTTCACTCGAGCATGGAGAGGGCAGAACTTCTGCACTTTTACACTTGAGCTCGTAAATTCATACAAAAATACCCACACACTCCCAGTGGTGTCCGTGTCCTCGTATTTTAAGGGGAAATTTGATGAACTATCCTTCAGCTCACAGTTGAGGTCTGGGATGATCCATTAGCCGCTTCCTTCACTTGAGTGGTGTCATTAATTGCACAGGATGCCATGTTTTTGGGCTGAACCTCTTCTTTTGTTCAGCGTGCCTGAGCTGCACGTGGCTAAAGTTCATGTATCTGTGCTGGTCAGTGTGTATAGACTCATCCCACCGATGCAGTTTAATATCCATACGCTGACGGATTTACATGATGTCTTCATGATGTCCTCTGTGTTCAAATGCTTAGCACGCCTGTCACCTTTCCTTTTTCCTTCTGTCTCTTTGACGCCGTCCTGCTGTCTCTGCGTTGAGTCTGCGACGGGTTGTGACAGGAGTCTGTTTAGCAATGTAAGGTCAGTCAGAGAGGTGGTGACCTGTTGGTGTGTGAGAGGAGGGTGATTGATGTCAGGTTGAGCTTGGCTAATTATTCCTGATGTCCTGAGGTGAGCTAGTCTGTTGAGTTGAACATGTAACCCACTGTAAGATCAAAAGACTCGAGGAAAAAGACATTAGGCCCATTCACCAAAGCCATTTGAACTCTTCTTGGTACCGCAGGAATTTGAGCTAGCGTTGGTCACTGTCCTTTTTTATGCAAAGTACTATCCCTTATTATACATTAGTACCACTGATCTAAAACAACTGGTTCCCACATGTATTCATAGCATTTTAAGTAGAGATGTTCCGAATGATCGGCCACTGATCATGTTCGGCTAATTTCTGTTAAAATGTATGTGATCGGCCGATACTGATCAATGTCTTTCAGTGCAGATCACAAAAAACAATCGTCTTTGCAGCTTGCATTGACTTTTTAAGGGGTGGCTGTGGATGAGTAGTTAGAGCAGTTGTCCTCCAATGCAAGATCCATCTATCCATCTATCTATCTATCCATCACTTCCCCCCCGGGTTGGGTCCTGGGGGTAGCAGCCTAAGTAGGGAGGCCCAGACTTCCCTCTCCCCAGCCACTTGGTCCAGCTCCTCCGGGGAAATCCCAAGGTGTTTCCAGGCCAGCTGAGAAACATAGTCCCTCCAGCGTGTCCTGGGTCTTCCTCTGAGTCTCCTCCTAGTGGGACGTCTGGAACACCTCACCAGAGAAGCGTCCAGGAGGCATCCTAAACAGATGTCAGAGCCACCTCAACTGGCTCCTCTCGACGTGGAGGAGCAGCGGCTCTACTCTGAGTACCTCCCGGATGATCGAGCTTGTCACCCTATCTCTAAGGGAGAGCCCAGACACCCTCCGGAGAAGACTCATTTTGGCTGCTTGCGTCCTTGATCTTGTTCTTTCGGTCACAACCCAAAGCTCATGACCATAGATGAGGGCAGGAACGTAGATCGATCGGTAAATTGAGAGTTTCGCCTTCTGACTTGGCCATTTCTTCACCACGACAGACCGGTACAACGCCCTCTTCACTGCAGACGCATAATTAAAAAAATGAAACAAACAGAAATTACCTTGGGGTGGCACGGTGGAACAGTTGGTAGAGGTAGCGCCTCTCGGCGAGAAAGTCACCAGATCAAATCCCAACCGAGGGCTTTTCTGAGTGAAGTTTGCATGTTCTCTCCGTGCATGTGTGGGTTTTCTCCGGGTACTTTGGTTTCCTCACACAGACCAAAATCATGCATGTTAGGCTGATTGGTAACTCTAAATTGTCCCTAGGTGTGAGAGTGAGTGTTTGTCTCGTTTGTCTCTAAGAGTCCCTGTGATGGACTGGAGACCTGTCCAGGGTGTCCTCGCCCCTTGCACAGTGACTGCTGGATATGGGCACCAGTGATCCCAGTAAAAGACAAATGGATGGATGGCACCTTGAACAAAAAGGTTTAAAATGTTACAGAATCAGCACGTCTTGTTGCAAGTTTCTTTTTTATTTTTAATTTTGTCAAGAATTGTTTTGAGTTTTCACTAGTTTAGCCTTTTTTTTTTTCTTAAGCCTCAGCTTTGATGGCTGCTGCACTGATGAGAACCTGTGATGGTAGTAAACACGTGTTATTGTTTTGCAAACCTGACGGAAGTAATTAGCAGGTCTTTCAGTGAGTTGGTCTTTGCATGAGCTAGTTTGAACATCAACAGGCGCTGGTGTCACACTCACTGCGGTCCCATCCCCCTCCTAAACAGAAAATAATACAACTTGGCATGAATGGCATCAGAAGTCATCATACAGGGGACGATGGTCTCTGGCATCGAATTAGGATTCAGCTCCTGATCACGAGTCGGTGTAACTTTTGATTCAACACGCTGCGATAAAACAAAAAACAACAAAGCTAATAAATTGATCTGTCAGTTCATGAAATTTTTACAACTTCCCTAAAAATAAATGACTTCTCACAAACGGGTATTGTTCAAAATTTTAAAACAACGAAACCAAAGCATAGATTTAATCCTAAAACTGACTCATTCACTAGAATCACTCTGCACGTGCACATCTGTGACTTGGTACAAATCACTCAATTTCCATATTGTTACTTCATACACACTTAACGGCACAGTTTCAACTGTTTTGTACATATTTTTCATGATGTTTGACACCAAATTTTAATGACTACATTTAAAACGATACCAATGTGGTGACGTCTTATTTACAGCTCAACCCGACATGAAACAAGTGCAGTTTGTTGGGGAAGCTGAGCTGTTTGTTGGAATACTAGTTAAAAGAATAAAAATGCAACTATTTTACTCTTTCAATTTTAAGTAAGGGTTGTGAGTGTAGATCAAAACAATTAAAACTAGAGTTAGGTCTGTCGCGATAAACAATGAATTAATTAATTACATGATAAATTAAAATTATCGACCTCATTTTCATTTATCGGCTTTATCGTTTCTTCATCTCTCTTTCTACTGAAGACACTGGATGACAAAAGGCTCAACTCCAGTGTTCTTCACTGACCCTTCCCGTTCTCTTTTCTCTTTAAAATCATTTTTAACCGTCCAAAATGGCATTTTTGGTTGAGCAGCTAAGCTGAGGAGCTAAGCTACGAGCTAAGCTAATAGGCTGACCTTGGGGGGAAAAAAAACCTGCGTCTTGTCGAAGCTCCAAAATTCATGGTTGAAACCCGTGCCTTCGTCTAAAAAATTTTTTCTTCTGCT